TAAATAGAAATGTTAATTGTCCACATTCTCTTGCACGATGCCAGGCTCCTTCCAACCACATTGAAGTAAAGGGCAGTTATCCATAAAAAAATTGTAATAATGTCGCATTTTTGTTTTTGTAGAATTTGATTTGAATCGAGTTCGTTAGAGATTTTGAATATCCTAACTATATGTCAAAATCTCTCAAATAATTTAACGTGTATCTATTTGTTATGAATGTTTGGTGCTATGTTGGAAGTTATGTGAGATACCTCAATTTTAACAATTTAACGCAATTTTTATACTGAATTTTCGGAGATTGTTTCGTATATGTAAAAATATTTTGAATATTTAGTGACAATATCACATATATTCTATAAAATTAAAAAGTAATATGCGCGAATTTAAAAGCAATAAGTCGAAATTTATATTAATTTTTTTAAAAACAATAAAGTAATTATCAATATTTAACGGTATATTTTTGTTTAAAGAACAATAAATTATCACTGTATATGTAAACAATAGACACTTTACGCTGACGGTCAGTCGTATTAATAATAATTAATTAGCGGTTGATTCCAACTAGTAAGAGCACAGTATAATAGTAACCGCTGCGGGAAATACCCCTAGATGTTGAACACCGTTTGGGTCGAGGTTGGGCGCGTAGCATTATCGTGTTTAGCTCAGGGTGGGATTATGGTGGTGGTGGCTGGTGGTAACGTTGGTGTGGTGGTGGTTGCAGATCACGGGCTTGATGAGGCAGAGGGCGCGGCTTACCACCACCACCACAGCCATCACCAGCAACATCATCGGCATCGCCATCATCATCCACTATCCGTCCCTCCTCCTCACCACCGTCATCAGGCGCAACTGGAAGACACATCAGTTAATCAATCTTCCACCACGGCCACCACGATCACGACGACCATCAAATATGAACGTGGCCAACCGGACTTCAGGCAGCAGAGATTATTACGGGAGCACCATCGACAGCACGGTTACAGGTGTCCCCTCTGCTGTAGGACATTGCATGATATCAGTGCTATGAGGGCGCACTTGGATCATCATTATCCCAGAGATTCACCCACCTGTCCCGTTGCGTCCTGCGCCAAAACCTTCTCCCATCCCAACAGTGTCAGGAACCATATGCGACTGAAGCATCCTGTAGAGTGGGACCAGATTAAGACCTTGAGGTGGACCTATGTCTGATGAACAAGCGAAGATCAGTATAACTCTGATCGCATGTCGTAACTTTAATCTTTCCCACAAATATTTTACCAAAGATACTTTGCTTTTTATTTTCCAGTGTGGCCCTATATTTCTTTGTGTGCTTACTGGGCGGCGATAATAAGTAATAATTTATTATATTAGGGCAGACTTTTTACGGTTGGAAATCGCTGTTAGCATTGTTATAGCAGAAATGATGAATATAGATCTAAACGATTCAATGTTTTCTTGGAAATATTGTTATTAATGGGATTTTGCAAATTATTATTTATTATATTTAATATATTTCTCTATTAAGATATATAT